CGGCTTCCGTGAGCATTGGTGGTGGAGGCAAGGAAACGGACACCCTCGACAACTTGAATCTTGGCTCCGTTTCCCATGATGCTTTCTGTTGGCCCAACCACGAGAGTTGGGTAGAAGTCTAATATTGTTTTCTGTTTGCGTCACTTGTCCTAGTGTCCTTTTTCTAGCTTTTCTTGCCTCCTTTTGAATGAATCTCGTATTTTTATTATTCCATATTCACCACTGATGAGCCTATTGGTCATACACTCTTTCACTCCTCTCCCAGTGATGGTCAGAGGGTGGTTTTCAAAGTGTGGTCCCCTCACTGGCAGCATCAGCACTGCCCGGGCACTTGTTAGAAATGCCAATCTGTAGGCTCTTCCCCAGGAATCCAGCAGCCAGAGCTTAGCACACCCCTCTGGTTGGTGTTGAGGAAAGGTAGAGCTTGACACCATTTTTGTTTCTGGCAAACAACTAGCCTGTGAGCCAATACCAGGACGAGGTGTCATTGAATTGATTCTGACCTGTGAAATTTCATGTGTGCCAGAGTCAAATGATGTCCCACAGGGCTTTCAATGGCTGGTTTTTCCCAAGGAAGATCACCAGGGTGGACTGGGACCTCCAACCTTTCAGTTAACAGTCAAGTTCATTAACCGTCTAGTCTACCCAGGGACTCCTGGGCTGCTCGCAGAGCACCTTAATCCAAGTAGGGTGACCCCGACTCAGAACTCGGTTTTGGTCCCTTTGAAAGCCAGTCTGTGTCTAGTTCGCTCCTGTTCCTACTGGGTAACCCTCCAGCAGTCCCAGTGGGAACCCGTGGTGTCTGCTAGAGCCGCACCTCCTCACCCAGCCTTGAGCTTCAATTTTTCTCCCTAGCTGCAGAAACTGCCGAAGATCCACCTCTTGGTTGCCGCTTATGAATCAGAGAAGGCCTCGGGGAAGGGGGGGGGAGCAGGTCTCAGGTCCATCTCATCAAGCGTCCTGATTCTCTGGGCCTCCGCACCTGGACCTTTGAGTCCGTGCTCCCTGGATGGTTCTCCAAGCCCTTCGCATCCCTCTCCCACTTAGCTCTTCTAACTATTATTGGCAGGAGGTTTGGTGCGACATGAGTTACTCTGCTACACAGCTGGAAGAGGAAGCCCCCCTATCCTATTGTTATTCTCTGACTATAATTATAGAGTCAAAATGAGCGTGTAGAATAGTTCAGCCCTGGCACATGGTAAGCAGCTCAATAAGTATACGTTATTATTAGTCTTCTCCCCCAAAGAATTCTAGAGTCATATTGAGCTGAGCTTTCAAAAAGCAACCCCTCTACCATCCCAGGCCTTTTGCGGATGAGTACACTGAGGTGGTACTGTAGAGCCCTCCACATGGGAGACGATGGGGGTGATTGGCTTGAAAGGCTGCAATCGGGCTCCAGGGGATTCGGTCGGCCCGGTCTGAGAGGTGCCGTGTGCTCTCGGGCCCTAAAGCTGCTGCTGTGGTTCAGTGCTGCTGAGCCGGTTCCACCTCACAGCGACCATGTGTACAACAGAACAAACCTGGCCCGGCCCAAGTCGGGAGCAGCCCGGGCTCAGGGCTCAGCTCATCGTAGGAGCTGCGGCCTCTCCTTCTTCATCTCTCCTGCCAGGTCCACAGCCCCAAGCCCAATTGAACACTTTGGACTCATCTTCTTAGCTCCAGAATCCCAGGATCTTCTCGTGTCTCTTTGCCTCAAACCCGAGTACACACATGCACATGTGTGCACACACACATGGCCACATACACACACTCATGTTTGCTCACCACAGAAGGTCCACAGAATCCAGGAGAGGCTGAGCAGCAGAGAGGATGGTAATGTCACAGATTGAAATGCTGGTTCCTGAGTCCTGGGCGTGGGGAGAAGGTGAGAAGCAGCCCCAGGGAACAGATAAAAAGGCAGGCCAGTTCTAAGTGGGGAGATGGCCGGCTGGGTCTGTCTGGAGATCACTGTCCCTTCTTCAACCAGGAACAGGGTCGTAAACCCCCCAGGTGCCTTCCTAGTGGATCATGAGGGAAATAGGACCCATCTGGAAAACTATGACCCAGGGCTGGACTGGAGTAGTTGCTAAAACCCCTAACTGCAATTGCTTCAAGGAAATAGAGGGCTATGTGTCCGTGGGGGGTGGGGGGGGTGGAGCACTCTTTAATGCCAAGCCCAGAAAGAACCCCCCTCCTCCGGGAAAATTTTTAAGTGATTTTAGATCCTTTAGCTCAGGAGAAATCTATGTGTTTAATTTTTTTTTTTTTCGGTTTAAAACTGTAGTGCAAGCTCATTGTGCGTGTGTGTGTGTGTGTGTGTGTGTGTGTGTGTGTGTATGTGTGAAAAACAAAACATGGTGTCAAAAAGAAAATGAAGAGCATGTGTGCGCCGACCCCTGGAGAGAATCGCTGCTGACGTCTTGGTGGAGTTCCGACGATCTGCACACCCTCTTCCCTTGACAATGAACATTTTCTCCTGCCATTGTTCTTTGAAACCCATTGAGAGGCCTCAAGCCACCATATGGTATCCTCGTTCCTTGGCTTCTATTGTTGGACATGCAGCCGGTTTATCCCTGTTGTGTAAAGCCCAGGACCATGCGTCTCTGTGTGCACATCTTTCTTTGTGCGGGCAGTGCGGTACAGCCCGGCTTCCAGACGGGCTCTGAGGGCCAGGGCGAGGTAATTCTGGGGCAGCCCCGTGTGACTGCATTGCAGAGGCTCAGCTGGATGTACTCTGACGAGGAGAGGGGAGCTGGCAGAAACAGAGGAGGAGCTGGGAGCCAGTTATCCCAGCTTGTTGGGGACAACGGGCAACCAAGTGGCACTGGCTCCTGGCGCCCCCACGTGTGTCTCAGCAGACCGTGCTCCATGGGGCTTTTCAGACTGACTCTTGGGCGGTGGGTCCCCGGCCTTTCTTGTGAGGTGCCTCCGGGGGCTCAGAAGGAGCCCCGGGGCATATCGTTCTGCATGGAGCTGCATCCGAATGGTGGGCAGCTAGAACCCCCAGCAGCTCCTCGGTAGAGAGACTGGGCTTTCTACTCCCGTCAGCAGTGACCGTCCTGGGAACCCCCAGGGGGTCACTATGAGTCAGCACTGACTTGGTGGCAGTGTGTTTGAGTTTTGTTGTGTTTGTTTATTTGTTTGTTTGTTTTGCATGGATTCAAACTTTCAACCTGTTAGCCACCAATGGCATGAACCATTCACCCGACTTTGACAAGTACCCTAAAAATGCTCCACTGGCGCCCAGTGTCCCCGGCCCTGGAGGCCTCCTGAGGAAGCAGAAATGGGTTTGTTTTGACATCCCTGAGTGGGGCTGTCCACACGGAGGCCCCTGAATGCCTCAGCCCACGTGGAGAACATGACAGGACAATGCTGTGATTATAGATCAAGGGGACATGAATTAAGACCAGTTAGAAGGGAGACTGAGACCTTTGGGCACCAAATGCTCAACTCCCAGAGGGTGGGCTAGATGACAGGGAATGGAGAAGCAAGGGTGGAAATAAGCAATGCAGGGGAAGTTGGGAAGCAGGAGATTGACTATCTCAGTGGCCCATCAGAAAAGCAGTAGACGCCTTTCTTCTCCTCATCTGCCCCAACCTGCTCTACTCCGGCTGCCCCACCCTACTAAGCTCTAGTGCTCACATCCAGCCCTGACTCATTGGGTTGTGGGATGCTGACATGTGAGCATCCTTCAGGTTACAGATGGGGTGCTGAGGCCATGGGTCAAAAAGCAAGACCATCTTCTTAGCCCGAGGACTCAAGATAAATGAAAGCAATGAGGCACATGTATGTGTGTGAGAGAGAGATTTAGGAATGTGATTGCGTGGGGCTAGCACATCCAAAATCTAGAGGCCAGGCAATAGGTTGGAGACTCCATGGTCAACCAGTTCAAATCCACCAGCAGCTTCTCAGGAGAACAATGAGGTTTTCTACTCCTATAAAGATTTACACTCTCAGAAACCTATGTGGGCAGTTCTACCCTGTCCTATAGTGTCTCTGTGAGTTGGAATCAACTCGATAGGAGAGAGTTTGGTTTTTGGTTTGTTTGTTTGTTTGTTTGTTTGGGGAGCAAGTCCAAAATCTACAGATGAACAATAGGTTAGAGACCCTGAGAGGTTCTGTCCCAAGATCTGGAAGTCAGGAGAAGGCAGGAAGGATGTAGCGTGAAGGATGTAGAAGAGAGAGTTTTGCCAAAATATTCACAGCCTGGAGGTAGACCACATCCTAGGAAAACTTCCGTTTCCGTGAATTGATTGGTTACATTATACTAGGTTACATTGTGTAGGTAATGGATTGTATTGCTTCAGATTACATTCTAGAACAGCATCTAGTGTCCTGTCTGGCCAAACTATGGGCCTCACAGCGTAGCCAAGTGGACACCTGCGTTTCCCCATCACAGGGACGCACCAGGGATGGAACCACAATGCACTTGAACCTGACAGCCCCATGCCCTTCAAGTCCACTCCTGTGAGTCCCATCTGCTCCATGAGGAGGGATAGGACACAGGCTCAGAAGCTGCCCGTGGGGTTCTGCAGAGACCAGTCCTGCTGTAAATGGACCCAGGAGAGCCCCAGGACAAACCCAAGTTGGTGAGACCTCTGCCTTGGGCACCCTCAACACCTCATCTGCAAGGAGTCCCACCAAGACCAGAGCCTCAGGAGTTCTCCTGCATTGTTCACACACACACACACCACCACCACCACCACCAGCAGGAGGAGGGAAAAGTTCTGAGGTTCCAGCACTTTGGGCCTCTACTCTCTGCCTTTTCCCACCATTGTATCCCCAGGACTGGTATCGTGTCTGGCATATGGTTGATGCTCAGTAAATATGTGCTGGACAGATACATGTAAGGACTAACTGTGAGGCAGGCACTGCCGCTGTTGCCACCCAGAGGAGCAGAGACTTGAGCACTGGCAGCTCCTGACTGCTCTCATGCTGCCGCTGGCACGGGCCTGAGGCTGCTTGTCTTGATCTCCCAGCAGGCTCAGCGAGGAGTGCTCGGCGGGCCCCGGCTGCCCTCCTTGGCAGCTGCCCTGAGAGCCATGGACAGCCTGAGTGAATTGCAGAGCCCGCTTCTGCCGCGGAGCCCTGCCCACCTCCACGGGCCCTATCCCTACCCAGAACCTGCACCCAGCTGGTCCTGCCAGGAGAAGCTCTATGCCTACCTCCTGGGCGGGGCTGGTCCTGCCCACACCCACCAACTCCTGGACCCTGGGTCCCTGCAGCTGGCCGTGGAGGCCTGGTACCGGCCCAGTTGCCTCCTGGGGAGGGACAAGGTCAAGGAGCCCAGGGCAGGCAGCTGTGAGACCAGCTTCACAGAGGGCAGGGAGTTTCAGGCTGGGCCCACAGAGTGGTGCCCTGAGCCTGGCCAGGCCGAAGAGGAAGCCACCATCCAGACCTTGTCCTATGGCGTTCAAGAGGAGCTGCGCGGGCCGGAGGATGAACTAGAGGAAGAGGAGGTGAGTTTCAGAGGGGCTGCGGTGGGAGACTTCTAAGTATGCCCAGCGTCCAGATCAGCTGGGGAGGTGGAGTGTTTAAAATTTTGGCCCCCAGGTCCCACCTCTAGATGTTCAGGTTTAATGGACCTGGGATGGGGCCCAGGAATCTGTAGGGTAACAAGCACCCAAAGGTGCTACTGGCAGGGGTGTGAGAAACACTAACTTGGACTGACGACTTCTGTTTTTAATATCATGTATCATTTTCCTCTCTTCGTGAAGCAGTTTGAACTCAGTGCAGAAAGCCGCGTGGAGAGGGCATTATTCATGGGGGTGGGGGTGGGGGGAGAGCCGGCCTGTGCCTATTCATGCGTCCTCTCCCAACCCCACTCCCCCGAAGAGAGCTTGCTGTTCCTGGTCGTCGCTGCTGTTTTTGTAAATAATTTCATCACCCGACCTTTCTTCCTCCCTCTCTCAACAAGATCTTTCAGTATTTATCCACGTGACTTGGTATTTTCCTACAGGGGGATTTTTTTCATGGTTACACCATATCCCACTGTAAGCTCTTCCAACATCCGTGAGATGAACCTTCTGGGTCTGTGGGCACATTTTGGTTGTTTGCAGTCTTTCCCAATTATTATGCTACGTTGAAGGAGCCTTGGTAGCTCCTGCTAGTGGTTATGGGTTGGACTTCTCTCCACAAGGACAGCAGTTCGAAACCACCAGGCGCTCCTAAAGAGAAAAGCAGGACGTTCTACTCCAGTGAAGAGTTACAGTCTTGGAAATACACGGGGGCAGTTCTTCTCTGTCCTGTGGGTTCACTAGGAGTCAGCATTGACTCGATGGGGTGGCCGTGAGAGACAGAGAGATCCTGCGTTAATCTGATGATCCCATGTTGATCCTTGAATTCTTCCCTTGTGACAAGTCCCTAACAATGGGATTACTGGGTCACTGCCAAGGTGCTCTTGACACTCTCCATTGCTTACCTCTTTGTTGTTGCTGTTAACTCTGCAGTCTGACAAGGTCAACTTGACCCTGGGCCTGGGCCCGGGACCCCACCTGTGTTTTGCAGAGCGATGCAACCTCTTCGGAGAGCGAGAGCGAAAACAGCTTCCTCACGCTGCCCCCCAGGGACCACCTGGGGCTCACCATCTTCTCCATGCTCTGCTGCTTCTGGCCACTGGGCATCGCTGCATTCTACTTCTCCCAGGGGGTAAGAGCGCCTGGGCCCTAGGCACCCACTGGAGCCGCCTCCCTCCACTGGAGGCTTAGCAGAAGTGTCTGTAGGAGGGGCCAGGGCCCTGGTGGGCGGGCACTGCTGCTTTGCTAGGTGTGAGATGCTCCCTTCAATCAGCTCTTCTCTCTCCTAGACCAGCAAGGCCATCTCCAAGGGGGACTTCCGGCTCGCCAGCACCGCCTCCCGCCGGGCCCTCTTCCTGGCCACACTCTCCATTGCCGTGGGCGCAGGACTCTATGTGGCTGTGGTGGTGGCTCTAGCAGCTTACATGTCCCAGAATGGTCATGGCTAGTGGGCAGCTGGGTCCGGCACCCAGACCCCCTGCTCCACCTGAGGAAGCACCAGAGCTTGGGGGTGTGGACTCAGGGGACAGCCAGGATCCCTGGGTCTTCAAGACACCCCGTGAATGTGGCTGGCTTGTTGGCAGAGGCTTCCGGCCTGCAGCCTGCAGGGCCTGCCCTTCCCTCCTTGCCCACTGCTCTCCCTCCGGAGCAGGGCAGGGGCACGGCGCTCTCACCTAGGCTGAAGATGGGGGGAAGACTGTCCCCCCAGACACAGCCTACCCGCCACCCACCTCCGTCCACAAAGACAGGGTGCTAGGAAGCCAGGGCCTGACTCTGTCCAGCAGCCCATGGAAGCCTCCACCCTGGGGACCACCTGAGGTACCCCCACCCCCAAGCCCTTCTGGCCTCATATGCACAGACCCCACAACCAGGAGGGACTGCGTGGAGACCCCAGGCCTAGCCCTTGTGAGACTCAGAGAGAGGGGAGGATCCCCAGCACTGACTGAACCAGGGGCTGGGTCTTGGAGCTGAAAGACAGAGTGAGCGCAGGACCCTGAAAAGCACCAAGTCACAGGAGCTCTGGTGAGGGGAGGGTGAGGGCCCTAGATCCATCAAGGGGTGGGGATGGGGACCCAGGAGGTGTGACCTGCTGAGTTCAGCAGGGCTTCCCTGAGGAGGCATCCCTGAAGCTGAGAAGGATGAGGAGAGTCGGCTAACAGATTTGTCTTTCCGTAAGCCTCAGTAGCTGTGAGCAGGGGCTGGCGGGAACCCTCCACGCTGGGCTTCCAAACTGTTTGTTGGGACTCTTTGAGGGGGGCGGGCACCCATGCTGGAGTCAAACGACGGCCATTTCTGAGGGCTCGGCCAACAGCCTGAGTCCAGGAGGAAGCCAAGCCTGTCTCTAAAAAAGAGCTGGGGACTGGAGGGTAGGCACTAGGACTCAGGGAGTGGGCCCTGTCCCGCCCAATGGCCAGCCTTGGGGCTTCTTCACTGATGCCCCTGCTCAGAGCTGATCTCAACACTCCCAGCCACAGGGAGGCAGGGGTGGCGGGGGTTCGTATCCAGACTTTCCGCAGAGTCCAGGCAGGCAGGCAGCACCTCTGGAGGCCAGCCTGGGCAGGCTCAAGCTTCCTGTCCTGTTGTGCATGACTGCGGACCGGACCTGGTCGTTCCCATAGCCCATCCTGAGCCTGCTTTTGGATCCACCACTGAAACTCCCCCCCTACCCCACCCCTAGTGTCCCAAGCTCTTGGGTGTGGCCCAGTCCTCCACTGCCTGCGTCCCCTGAGGGTCCAAGGGCCCCGGATCAGCGGTTTTAATGCTCATTATTGTATATATTTATCCTTGTAATAAACATTTCAGTAACACCTGTGCCCTCTGGGCTCCTGGCCGCGTCACCTGCCTGTGCCCTGTTCTTCTCCGTCGCCACCCCAACAGCGCCCAGCCTCTTCTCAAGAGCACCCACCCTCATCTGCGCCTTGGGAGGAGGCGGCAGCCAGGGATAAGGGGACTTTCTTCAGCCGGGGCCACGCGCAAAGGGGGCTTCCACTGAAGGTTTGCTGCATTCCTGCTACCCACCCACCTCCAGTCCCCAGCACAGCCCCACCCACCTGCCCGAACAGCAGCTGCCCCCCAGATGAAACCCAGGTCCCTTTGGCCTTCACTTCTGGACCCTGAGGCTACTTCCTGGGGACACCTGCAACAGTGGCAGAAAGTGTCGGTGGGCAGCCTTCCACCAATGACGGCGAGGCAGGTAGGGGATACATAGCCCAACTTTCTTGCCCTTGAGAAGGTGACACCAGCCACACCCCACACTGGTTCCCAGAGTTCCCCGGTGGGGTGGGGCTTCAGCTGCCCACCAGCTCAATGGAGCCTTTCAAGGACTGCCTTCTCCCCACCCCCACCCCACTTCCTTCTATTAGCTCCCTTTTCCTGGAATCCCTGCCTCAGAGTCCGCTCTGGAAGAACCCAAGGAAGGCACACACATGCTCCCAGCACACCGTCCACAGGTATAGTCACACATGCCTGCACACACGCACACACGCCACATTGAGAAACACTGCACGGGCACTCACGGGCAGCATGTAGACAGGAAGCTGAGGCTTCTCCCCCCACCCTGCCCACCCGGGGCCTTTGTCAGCCTCGGGCCTGGGTCGGCAGCCAGGCAGGAAAAACAGGCAGTGGGCAGCACCCCTGCCCGCCCAGGCCCTGCCCAGGCCAGCCCTCCAGAACACTGCTGCTCTGGGTCTCAGACACGTGAGGAGCCCAGTGCCTTTCGCAGTCTCAACCCAGGTCCTGCTGACCCCTTGCCACCACCCGAACCCCCAACCCACCCCCCAGTCCTTGCTGCCAATTCAGGCTCTGCAGGAAAAACTGGCCTGTCCTGACCAGTTTGTGGAACTCAAGCTGCAGCGACAGGCTGCACCCCGTGCCCCCCTTCCGAGGCTGAGACACGCCTCGGGGCATGCCTGGGGCACTTTCCGCCTGCGCTGGCTTCCTGGCCCCCAGAGCCTCATTGCCCCATTGTCAGGCTGCTGGGCGGTGTGGCTGGGACTAGGGGGGGGTCCCCTGGGTAAAGGTGCCTGTGACAAGCTGCCGTGCCAGCACATCTGTGCGAATATGACCAATTATTTTCCTCACTATAAACACGCAGCAGGAAGGCAAGGAGGCAACCAACCCAGACTGTTTAAAATAGAAACCGAAATTGCTGCACGGGGAAGTCGGGGCCTGCACCAGGAACGTGGAGTGGGCCCCCACCACCACCACCACCAGCTGCCCCTGGACTGCCTCAAGCACTGGCCAGGCAGGAAGACAGGAGAAAGGCCTCGCCTGGGTGGGAACAAAGCCCAGGCATGGGAGGAGGATGACTTATGGCACTGCCACAAAGGATGCAGGATCCGTGCTCCCAGACGCCCAGACTGCCGAGCCCCGGGCTCGGGGAAGAGGCTGGGCAAGGAAGAAGGGCCCCCTCACTGTAGGCCATCAGAGGGGAGGCACGGCAGCCTGGAAATGACAGCTCAGGGGCCACAGGAGATTGGGAGCCATGGATTGCCACCCACTCTGGGTGGTAAGGAGTGCCCAAACCCCACTCCCAGGCCGCACAGCTTCCCTGGCCCTCCTTCTCCACAAACACACCATGCTGTACTACTATCTTCATACTATTGTGTGGATTGAGCTGACCCTGCCCCAAGCCCCCTCCCCGCATCCTGACCCAGGCTTCCTTTTTCTGCCTCCCTGACTCCTCCCCTAAGACCCCCAGCCCTCCCCTAGGAACTAAGCCCACATCCCCCCAATACATCCTCCCTCGCCTGGCTAATCCTGATGGGTCAGTATCCCAAAGGTCGCCCCTGACCCCAAAGATACTTCTCTCCTCCCAGAGGAGGGGCTCTGAGCAAGCACAGCCCTCCTCCCCCCCAGTTCACACCCACACACCCTCTGCCAACCCCTTCAGGCTGTGCTGCACCCCTGCTTTCTCTTCAGGGCCCAACCAGGCCTGTGGTCCCCTAGGAAGATGGGGCACACAGGGTGGCAAAGGGTAGGCATCTTGGAGGGGATTGAGTCCAGGACTTCTTAAGCATTTCCACTCAAGACCCCTTTTCACCCCAGAAAATGTTTACCCAATCCCGGGTATAAACTCTAGAGCCAAACCCGCTGCCATTGAGTTGATGCCAACTCATAGCCCCCCTATAGAACAGGGTAGAACTGCCCCTGTGCACATCTGAGGCTGTCACTCTTTACTGGAGTAGAAAGCCCCGTCTTTCTCCCAGGGAGCTGCTGGGGGTTTCGAACTGCTGAACTTGCAGATTGCAGCCCACCGTGTAACCACCACATGACCAGGGCTCCTTTAAGAGAGGTCAGCCTGTGAAAAAGGACATCAAACTTGGTTAGGTGACAAATATACCCCAGGTATATGTATATCCCTAGATAGGAGGAGCCCTGCTGGTGTAGTGGTTATGTGCTGGGCTGCAAGCCGAATGGTCAGCAGTTCAAAACCAGCAGCAGCTCCACAAGAGAAAGAGTGGGCTTTCTACTCCTGTAAACCGTTGCCGTCTCAGAGACCCACAGGGGGTCCTAGGAGCGTCAGCATCGATAGCAGCGAGTTTGGCTTTAGGTTCTATTGGTATAATCACATAAATATACAAGCCAAGCATGGCTTTTAATTGATGATTTCAATTTCAATAGTATTGCGAAGCACAACAGCTAACACTAGTGAATTTTTTTTTTTTTTTTTGGCTATGAGCTCATGTTGAAATTTCTCAGTGCTGCATGGGGCAGGGCTGCCAGAAACACCTCCGATCCATGACAGGTCTGACTTTGAGCTGCTTTTATTGCTGCGCACTCGGAAACCATTTCCTGTTTGTTTCTGCTGTGGCCAAATGTTCGTGACCCTCCCTCCCTACCCTCCACATACAGTTTAAGCAGCTCTGACCTAGTCCGCCCTCCCTCGTGCTACTGACAAAACCACCTGTCCATCCCCGAGAAGGGAGGTGAGCTTCCCAGTGTCACCCAACAGGTTGTGAGCCCGGCGGGGGCCCTCCTCCCAGGTCCTGGAGTTGCTGAGCTAGTCTCTCTGCCCGCCATGCAGACCAGGGACAACTGGGCTGCCTCCGTGAATGTTAAGGAACCTGCTTCCCGCAGCCTGCCCCTCCCAAGCTGCTTCTTGCTTCAAAGGCTTCCCCAGCCAGCCCCTCCCTGGGGCTGACACCTCGGCCTTCTATTTTTGGTGGTGACGTGGCAGGGGTGGGATGGGAGGGTGACAGCCTCATGCTTGCCTGCGGGGGCTCCTGGCAGCCCCTCAGGACCTCTCACATCCTCTCTGGGTGGAGGCACCACAGGGAGACTCCGAGGCCATGGATAAAAATGCTGTGAACTTCCAAATACCCACACCTAAAGTCCTGCAGGGGCCTTCGCTCTCCCTCCACAGAGCCAGATCATCTTTAGAAGGATGACAGGCTGGTTGTGGGGCCCCGGAGGGGGATGAAAGAAATGGGGGTGGGGGCACGTGTGCACCCACGGGCAGAGCCAGGGGTGAGGCAGTTCAGACGGGAGACATTAGCAGAGTGCCTTCCACGCACAAAGAAACTTCCCTTCTGATCTCTGCCACCGAGGCAGGTGTCCCTGTCCCCACGTACAGACGAGGAGACAACCAGCTTGACCAGCGTCACTCCTGGTCCGACTGCTCACCTGCTGGACCACGGCCGCTTCCTTAGTCCATTTGAGGCCACCTCTTGACCATTTCCCCTCCTTCCACCCTTTCGAGGAGCTCTGGTAGCCAGGTGGCTAAAAACACTTGGCCAGGAATCTCAAGGCCGGTAGTTCAAACCCACCAGTCACCCCATGAGAGAAAGATGTGGGAGTCTGCTTCTGTAAAGATTGATAGCCTTATAAACCCTATGGGACATTTCTACAGTGTCCTATAGAGTCAGAATTGATTTGACAGCAGTGGCTTTTCCCCCCCCCCACCCCCCCACCCCCAGGGCTGTCCCTGACAACTCCACTCGGAGCTGGTGGAGCGGGCAGCCTAAGGCCACCCCCTACTACAGTTTGTCATTGGGTAAGCTGCTCCTTGGTGTTTACCCATCT